CCTGTTCAAGACTATCCAAGCTTAATGGCTTGTGAGCACATCCCCGATGTCTGTCAAGAGTGTTTCATCCAGTGGCTGGATCAGCAGATGCAAGGATCGGAACGAGCGTCCTGTCCGTCCAGTGGATGCACCAACGCCATCACCCACGACGACGTGCAGAGATACGCTTCTCGAGAGATGTATACGCGGTTCGACGAGCTCTCTATGCGACGTCTTCTCGGTGAGGAACCTGGCTTCATGTATTGTCTGGCCAAAGGATGCACTTCTGGCCAGATCCACGACACCGGTGTTGAAGGTCCAATCTTTCGTTGCGCCGCCTGCGACTTCCGAATGTGCACGGCTCATCCGACACCAGTACCCTTCCACGAACATGAGTCTTGTGCGCAGTATATCAAGCGCATCGAAGATGAAGCTTCGAATACAAGGAAGAAACGTGAGGATGACGCCAGCGCTGCCGAAGTGAAGCGAGCATGTATCCAGTGTCCAAAGTGCGGGGTCAACATACAGAAGAACAACGGTTGCGACCACATGACGTGTAAGTACCAACCACCCAGATGTTGTTTGTTCAATTACTAACCTAAGCAGGTCGGCATAAGCGATGCAGGTTCCAATTCTGCTACATCTGTCGCGCACCTTATCAAGGTGCTCAAGGCATCAACATCATTGGGAACACAGCGCATCAGCGTCACTGCCGTTATCATTCATCTAGGCTCCCTGGCTACGCTAGAAATCGCTGATCGAGTTTCGGAACGTCGTCTGGCTTTTGTATGTGTGGAGGCTTTCAAGCTTGCACGCAAGAGATCCAAGCCTGATAGTTCATATAGAATGATGGCTGCGTGAAGAATGCGAAGAATATGGATCGGTCATGGAGATTCATCTTGAGACTTTAGTTCCGCGCTGCAGTCTGACATGAACGAGATGAATAGCTTTTGGTCTTAAGGGTTCGCGCGAGGCTGGTCTGACGTTGCATGACTTTACTATATGGGAGACAAATGCTTCACGCACGGTTGTTCTTGCCACTAGCAAGTTGAAAAAAAGAGTGTATTGATTTTCATTGTCTACAGTCGTGTCTCGCTCTCCCTTTGCATACATATACTTGATTGCACACTCTTCAGCCGCATCATTAGCAGAGGGTCTCTACTGCTTGAAATGACCGACACAGTCTAGCAAGATGGCTGCAGGACTCTGGCCAGCGAATCACCTCGCGAGCGCACTTACGAGAAGACCAAAAGCAACACTTGCGAACCCGTCAAGCCACCCAGATATTGGACTTCTTTCGAATCCATATCATCTACGCATGCAAGCCTCTCGACCAACTTTGTACCGTGTGTGTGTGTAGATACGCGCCCATTGGAAGACTTCCTCCGCCCACGGGAGTATGAGCATGACCCTGACGCATGTAGGGATTACATCGGCAAATGGCTAAACATCAAACGGAAAAGCACGGAGAACACTCGTATTCCCTGTCCTTCTACGGGGTAATCTGCGGTGTTTGCATATGAAGATGCCTGTGACTTCGCGGTCGCCGTACTGTTCAATCCGGGAGCCTTTGCCTTTTCGCTTCTATGCGAGTATTAGTATGTGTAGCTACGATAAACTGACGCTTCAAAATTTTCTCCACAACCAGCCCGACTTCCGCTTTGCGTTCGGTCAGAGTATCCTGTTGGCCAGCTACATGAGGCGGAAGATATCAGCATCTTGGCCTGCGCAACATGTAGCCATCGTAGTTGCGTAAACCACAGCATTTCTTACGGTGGACTATGCGAACAGTACGACGCTAAAAAGGCCTACAAAAATAAGGAACTCTTGGATATGAGAAAGACTACTACAGATTTCGACAAAGAGACGAAGAAGTTTCCCAGCTGCGAAACAAATCTCATTTCGAGGAGGGCAGAAGTATAATGCAACTGGTACGAGAAGCGCAGCGGCAAAATGAGCGGAAAAACTGCGTCTGCCCAGTGTCTGTCGAGTACTCCGACCCCTTTTCTCAGATTGGCATGAGCACGCCATCCCCGAACGACTAGGTATACGATGAGTCTTCCTCCTGATTTACGGCAGCTGATGGCACCATCGTGACTGTATCTATAACTGTACATATAGTACCACTCTTCGATATAATCGGTGGGAGGCTCATAGGCCACTGGGTGAACCTCGTCATTGTCTGCCTCACCGTTCAATACCGTGCCTAGCGAATCGACTATATCTCGCGCGCAATATAACCAACTATGATGACAGGGAGTCAGAGCGTAGCACAAGAGGGACAGCAAGCGTTCATGGCGCACGTGTATGATATGCTCAAAAACATGCATCATCCACGTGTCACTCACACTGAGAGATATGTTGCATGCTTATCGCTGACTCTCAGCAGTATGACAGCTTTCTGAACGCAGGAACGGGAAACCAACATGTATTCAAGTCGCACGATCGACGTGCTCATACCTTTGACTGATCATGATCAACACATTCATCGGTCTCTCACTAGAGTCAACAGTTATTTCGTGGAGTCATGCTGGGTATAAAACGGAGGCGCATCAACACCAGTATAGATGCACAACAACAATCTTCAGTATACCATTACTTCCGTCTACTTCACAGATATATCCTTCAAAACAGCTATTCAACCGAAATAACACGTCACCTCAACATCAACATGTCGTCCGCACAGCCTGGAAAGGATGAGCTCGCCTACTTGCGTAGGTTCGAGGCTCAGGTGCACAACAACAAGAAAAGAGCAGAGGAGGCCAAAGAGAAGGCCGATGATGCCAAAAAGAAGACCGAGGAGGACAATAAGGCTAAAGAAGAGAAAGCCACTGAGACCTCGAAGGCCAGCAGCAGCGGCGGGTCGTAGAGCAGCGGTTGGGAAGCAGGGATGTCAACAACCAAGTCAAGCAAGTCCAATCTCTTACCTGTTGCCCATCTATATTCTAATTCGACTAGCCCACCACCTAAAACAGAACGTTCGCTCACGGGGCAAGCAATACGGATTGCTTGTTGATATCTCTGATGGAAGGTGACGAGGCACATGGAGTGTGTATGGTCGTGGAGGTATGTAATTTGTAGCCAAGCTTCACTGGTTGAAGAGCTCCAAGATTGCACATGGTGGATTTTTTTAACACACTCATTCATGTCAGATCTTGTAATAATGTTTTCATACCTAATTGAACACGGATCCTGTTCCCCACTTCTTGCATCAAATTTACCGTGTGTTGATACGTCTAGTACCGTTACTACCTTACGAGATGTCGAATGGTTGATAGGGTCGCCGAGAGGTTGTCACGAGGTGACGCGGATAGTGCAATTAACAAAGAGTCGCTGTTGTGTACGTAAAGGGTGTATTTGTCGTGTTGGATAGCAGAGTTCCTGATCCACGGATGCCACTGGGGCTGGAATTGACCGATCGACGTGGGTGGGGCTCAATGGCGTCACGCGTCGCGGCGCGTTCCTTCCCACACCAAGCCCGCCTTCCACACCTCACGCAGCTGTGTACACACTGCGATGTCTCAGCTAATACTCTCTGGTCTTGCGACACGCTACCTTCCGGAGACGCGACTGATGGTTGGTCCGCTAGTCTTCCGCCGGCTTCTTGCGGACGCGACGCTCCAAATCACGCAAAATGCTATGCACCCGCCGTAGCAGTCTGCGCGGCGCGCCCAACACGGAACTTCGAGAGATTGCGCGACTCTTGAAACGACGAAGCCGCAGTCGTATGCCACATGATGCCATATGTTCTGTTTTGGACAGGCTGGTCAGTCGACAGCAGCAGCCCCATACGTCAAACGCGTAACATCTGACCTGATAATATTCCGTACCAGCTACCCTACTGGGTAAGAGATCTTCTACCTTGGCTTGTCAATCATGGTAATGATTCATTATTCTACTGTCCTAATGTTAACACCATAGCGTAACAGGCCCACGAATAACCTCCGACATACCGCGAGATATCCAAATCCCCACCGTCTCGATGCGCGATACCCAACCGAAGTCGCTACACAAACTGGCGTATGCGATCGATATCCTCTCCGCGAGACAGTCACCTTCATGCAAATCCGCGCGATACCGCCTTGATTACGGGCCAACGGAATGAACAACATCATGGCTGGGCCGACCTAAGATGCACATCAACATCTAGGCCAAAGCATAGAGACTAGTCAATACCCATATTAGGCACTGTACTTTTGGATCATAGCGTGCCTGATATGCACGAAATACCCAGGGTGTCTGGACATAGATATTTCACCCAAGTGGTGTAGGGATGTGGTGGAAAAGGCCGACTACACAAGCTTGAATCAAACACCACTATGCGCATCCGTCCAAAATCGCCAGATAACTCAGCCAACGCCACCATAGTACTCCGGCCATTGCTTCTGCATCTCGGCTTCTTTGAGGATATGCAGACATTTTAACGCTCATCCGAAAGGAGATCAACAATACTCATCTACGATCCTCCATCATATGTGTTTAGAACGTGAACAAAGCTAGAGGCCACATGAGGTAAACAACGGGTAAAACCGTGAAGCAATGATTGAGCAAATAGTTGGTATCCTTTGTGGGCTTGATGTCTGCACGCAGCCTCACGTTGGCGTTTGTCGGTTTGTTCCTTTGTTACTCATCATTGACCCCAACGGCAGAAGACATACACAAAGCAGGTACAGCGCAACATGTGCCGAAGGCTCATGTTTGATTCCATAGATATGGGAAACTGTATAGAAGCTGATGGAGATTCAAGATGCGAATTCTCAATAGCTAGATGCACCCTACGAAGCCACTTCTGGACTACACTATAGCTTCGGAAGTCTTAAAACACCTTACACGGCATCATGACGAAAGGGCCACCGTACAAAACCGGGCAACCTTACTTTAAGAGGACTTTCGAGACATGGTGTCGGACTCACCGACCAGGATGGTCAAGAGGTAAGCCTTCAAAGATGGGCATGCTGAGATGGTAGCTTACTCTATTAGACGATGTGAGATTGACCGCTCAGACCTTGTGGCATGGAGACATGGTCATTCAAAACTTCTTCCTCCGTAAGGTTGGGAAGAAGTTTAAGTATCCTATGCTGCAACAGCATCAGGTGCCAGCCGCACCATGGACCCAAAATGATGTAAACTTAGCAAGGGCAACTAGGCAGCTACCTGGTGCTGCGCCTCCTGTCATTGCAGCTCCTGTCATTGCAGCTCCTGTCATTGCAGCTCCTGTCATTGCAGCTCCTGTCATTGCAGCTCCTGTTGTTGCAGCTCCTGTCATTGCAGCTCCTCTGGCAGCTCATCCGGCAGCTCTTCCAGTTCAACCCTACCCTTGCAGCTTTTGGCCCAACAGGCCGTGGCACGCAGATCCAGAAGACGCTTCTATCGGTCCGAAAATTACGATCGAGGCCATCAAGGATGACGTGTTTGAGGAGAGCCCTAGAGCAGACTGGATGGCTACAAAGCCATTCTTTTGGCCAATCCAAGATGAGCAAAACTGGGAGAACAAGAGGTTTCTCGGCGCTGGGGCCTCTGGCTGTGCGGGATTGTGGTGTCAAAGTGATGCCCAAGGTAACATATCAAGGGTATGTGACTTCAGGCATAGGATCATTACTCGGGTTTGAGAGAGCGTGCTGACAAAGAACAGCGGATGGTTATCAAGGAAGCGAGGCCTGACAAGATCCAATGGCGTGACCTTTGCTTTTGGCGAGATCAATTGCCGTGCGAGATCCACATGCACCAGCTAGTCGACAACGGCCGCGTGGTATCCGATAGCGATGATGAGCCCGCTGGTTCTGATCATGAAACTCTGGTCAGACATCATGGTTACCGCTTGATGATGACCCAGCGGCGTTATCGCATCTTCTTCGACTACTACGAAGGCGGCAATCTTTGGCAGGCTTTAGAAAAGCACTGCAGCAGAATGAAGAACACATTCTATACCCAAGGCGAGGAGCCAGGGCTTGATCACGACTGGGATGAGGAGTTCGGTTGCTACCGTGACTCAAAAGCGGTGCCCGGCGAGGCGGGATTGTGTGTGAAGATACCCGAAGGCCTTATCTGGAGAATTGCTAGCTCGCTTGTTCAAGCGTGTCAGATCCTGCATTTCGGCCAGGTAAGTATTGGACGTGTGCAGAACACCACACCTGAGTGGAAACCGATCAAACACTGCGATATAAGACTTGACAACATCTTCATCAAGCCAGCGGATGAGGAGAACGAGGTCTGTGATCAATCTCCGCAGGATACGTTGGAGATCGTGTGCGCTAACCGGCCCAGTACCCAATATTCGTCTTGGCAGACTTCGGCCTCTCGTTTACGGACATGGGTGCTCCTGGAACTGACAACCCATATGAGTATGTCAGGGAAATGACAGACGAACGATTTGCGCCTGTGAGTAACAAGGCTACAATCCGTATGTTTTTACAAAGTTAATTAGATGCAGGAACACCAGTTTGTAGTCAACGACGCAGCAGAAAGCGCTGGGGTAGTACCCCTAGACGAAAAGACAGATGTATGGCAGATGTACGTACACCACCATAGAATACCCGTTCGAATTTTACTAACTACAACCCTAGTGGTGCAGTACTTTACTCATTACTCAGTAATGGTTTCTTCCCCCCTCTCGGCCAAGGGCCATATCGCTTTGTCGAGAAAATTGACGCAACTGTACCTTTCGCCCTCGAACATGGCGAACTGAGAACCATCGTCGACCCAGAGGATGACCCATGGAATGACATGCGTTTCTTTCCTACTTTCAAACGTTACAGCGAGGATCTGAAGCGGTTGGCGTTCGAGTGTCTGGCATGGCATTCGAGTGAACGACCGACGTTATTGGAGATGGGAAATAGGATCGATGATTTCCTTACGACGCACCCGAATGTTGCGAATGATCGGAATATGGAATCGCTAGAGGTCGTTCGAGATTTGGAATTCGCGATTGGGCAACCTATGAATTAGACCCGGCTTTAGTCTTGGCAGATCGATGCGCGACTTTGAAATCTGTACGCGCCCATAGCTATGGCAACGGCTTCACAATATCCACTAACCTATCCGTAGATACGTGCTTGTATCCATGTCTTTGTCCTTCCGCATTAGCCATCTCCCGGCGTTGGCATAAGTGCCGCAACAAGAAGTTTGCATCTCTTTGTTCGGCCGTTGTAGTCCTGAACGCACCTTGCCGATATAGCCTTTTGGGAAACAAATCGAATGACAAGTTGTTTTAGCACATCCACCAATGCCACGGAAGTCACCACCCTATAAATCCGGTCTGCCCTACTTCAAACGCGACTGCGAAGCCTACTTCCCCACCAATGCCTTGACCGTCACATGGAGCCGCGCCGAGCAAAACAACACGGTCAACACATTATGGTATGGTAGTCGAATTATCCGCGATTACTACAACGCGCGGATCGGGCGACGAGAATTATTTGGTCTACCAACACCAAACCCTATACCAGATAACCCGTTCAATGCGAGCGACGTCACGTTTGCGCGCGCAAATAAGAGTATGCCGCCGTATCGTGATGGATCAGGAGGAACGGAGCCGGCGTGGGTGAATGCTCCAGCGGGTTTCGGCGCGCTTGCGATGACTGTGCCACCGCCCGCTGTGGTCGTTGCTGGCCCTGTTACAGTGCCTGTTCATACCGTTACAGTAGCGCCACCACGGCCGGTAAATCGATATCCCTTCGACTTCTGGCCACCTAAGCCGTGGGATGCGGAGCCAGATGATGCGACCTTAGGCATGACCATTAAAGCCATCAAGTCTAAAGAAGAGCCCGAGAACGGTGAAAAGTGGATGGATGATACCCATGATCCATATAGCGACGGAAGAAGATGGATAGGCGGGAAGTTTCTAGGTGCAGGCACTTTTGGATGTGCAGGTTTGTGGTGCGCAGTCGACGACCACAACATCGTGACGGCCAGAATGGTCGTTAAAGAAGTCCGCCCACACAACTGGAAATGGCGGGATCCAGCGTATTGGAGAGATTATCTTCCGCGTGAAATTCGCATACATGAGCGTATTGACGCGAATCGACCCGCCGCTGGCGCTGATACCTCAGGCTATGATAACTTGTTGAGGCATTTAGGGTACAGATTGATGATGCAGCAGCGCCGCTTCAAACTGTACCTGGACTTCTGTGAAGGTGGCGATTTATTCCAGGGATTGAAAGAGCACTTTGACCGATGGAAAAGAGGACAAGCGACGGATAAAATTGAGCGACTCAAAGTCGTACCAGAGAGCTTGGTCTGGCATGTACTGTCGCAGCTTGTTGATGCATGCCTGGTCCTCCAAACGGGATCGAAAGATCCCGCGACAGCGGAGTCGGCTTGGCCACCAATCACGCATCTCGATATCTCGTTGAGCAACATCTTCCTGGAGCCAGCGGCTGACGATGCTTATCCAAACTGTGTCTTGAGCGACTTTGGTATGGCAATGTATGATCTGGAGCAGAGTGATCCCGCAGTGAGACCCTCAGACAACCCTCAGGAGTACGTGCTCGGCCACACCAGTTTCAAGTACCCTCCCGTAAGTCAAATCTGTTCGGTATCGAGACACCCAGAATAACTCGTGCTAATCGCATCAGGAGCAACAACTTGCACGAGGCACTCCGCCTGACTTGACACCTTTGAATGAGAAGTCAGATGTTTGGAGTATCGGAGCCGCAGTCTGGTATATGATTGCGAATCGCTCGGTCGCTGGTCCGCAGCGCGAACTGCATTACTCGGAGGATATGCCGCAAAACGTGAACATTGGCGAAGCGGATCATGGGCGACTAGACGAGCCCGGGGCGAAAACGTTTGAAGGTTTGGGCTTTCCGGCACTGAGCAAATACTCGGAAGAGCTGAGGTCGTTGGTTGCGCGCTGCATGAACTGGGAGCAAGAGCATCGGCCAGATCTAGCAACATTGAGGGCCAAGATCAATGCGTATCTGGCAAGCCACCCGAAAGTAAGGGATAGCAGGGACTTTGGACCGCTGAGAATGTCGAACCTCGAACAAGGGCTGGGAATTGGAGATACATTTGCAAGAAAGAGGAGGAAACCGATCGCAGGAAAGCAACCCCGTAGAAAGCAAAAGGGAGACGAAGAGGACAGTGAAGAGTAGCTCGAAGTCGTTGAATGCGAGTTTCGCTCTAAATGACTCGGTCGTCCAGCGGGACTAGGCTGTCTTTCGCAGGCAAACTTGGAGTGTTTTCGATAGCACTTTGTCCATCTTCCCTTTGCCTGCGCTTTCCAGCCCCCCGTCCGGCCTGTTATCGTTGCTGAATTCTGGTTTTGCATGCATGTTCGAATCGACCTCCGGCTGACTGTACACGAGTGCCTGCAACGAGCGTTTCTTCAGGTCCAAGCTCGCCTCTGTTCCCGTCTTCGTCCTTGCTTGAGTGTTCGTCTTCGCCGTGGTCCGAGAGTGCTTGTGCGATCGACCTCAGCAGGCTGCTTACAGCCCAAAGGCATCACGCAGCTGCTGGTGTGTGGGATTTGTAGGTTATGGGGCTCGGATTGGTAGGCCGTGGCCTGTCAGACGGTCGGGATAGATTCTCGGATCGTGTTCTTTAACGTTGCCGCTTCCATGCTGCCACGCGGTGATATCATCTGCTTTAAAAGTAGCTGTCATGGCCTTAACACGCCCTTACCATCGTGAGTCTGTTCTCGCGTGAAGTAGGTGATCAGCTGTAGCTACACATAGCTTTCGAGATCGTCAAATAATCCGAGTCTATTGCTGGAATAGAGACAACGCGGACACGGATCTAAATCGCTACGAAGGCCACGGGCCATTGAGGGGAGAATTGGAACGCGTTGTGTGCTAGGTGTGGGCCGTACTTAAAGTGAAGATAGTTGGGTATAGTAGTTAACCTTAGACCTTAATGTATTAATATAATCTTAGTTTTATTTACTAAGGCGCTAGTCTAGAAGTAGATTTTTTCTTTTTATAATACTACTTTCTTATATAAATAGTAAATATTATAAAGCTATAAAATTAACTTATAATACTAGCTTTAACTACTTTAACTATCTTAAACTAGTTATATACTAAACTTAGTAAGTAGTATATTTACTAAGCTTACTTTTTACTACTATACTTTTTTTAAAATTTTTTTTTTAAAAATTATTAGTTACTACTTAGTAGTAAGCTAAAAAAGTAGTATTTTAATTATAGCTACTTTTTATATATAAAAGTAAAAATAACTTAGTACTATAGTAAATATTAGAAACTCTACTTTAAAGTATAAACTAATTATATACTATTATTAAGCTACTTAAATATATATAAAATTATTTTAGCTACTTTTATATTTTAATAAAGTAGCTATACTACTATTATTTTTAGTTTTCTAAGTATTATTTTAAAAAAAGTAAGTAAATAGTAGAAGATTTTATACTATAGTAAAAAATTAAAATATAAATATAAAAATAATACTATAAAAGTATTAAAAAAGCTAAAAAGTTTATAAATAATAAGCTAAATATTTATTATTATAATAATTTAATTATTTATTATTATAATAAAAAGTTTAAAAAAAAGTAGTAATAAATATATATTTTATAAACTTACTAGTTAAGCTTTAACTTTAGTTCTATAGTATAAGCTATTATAAAACTTATTATACTAACTTATTATAATAACTTATTATTAGACAAATAACTACTAATTAATATAGAATATAAGAGATAGCAGAGTAATAGTATATTATCTAGTAAGAATAGACAAATTATTACCTTCTAGGTAATAATTTTCTAAATCTACTTATACTTACGCTAAGTTAAGTTATATAACGTTGTCTAACTATCTAGAATATAGGTTTTTAATAATATCTCTCTTCTTAGCTCTAATTCTCTAGAGTTAAATAAAATAAGTTATTTTAGACTAAGATAAGCTATTTTATAAATTATTATTATCTAGTAATTAAAGCGTACGTTAGTAGATATAGAATACACTATCTTATAAGAAAGTTATTTTTTAGACTTACTTTTACTTTTACTTAGTAATTTTCTTACTTACTACTAAAATAGGTAATAATAGAATATTATAGTAAATACTACTATCTATACTAGTAGCTAGCGTCTTAGTAGTATTATATTAAGATCTTTTAAATTTCTTAACTATTACTTTTATACTAACTAATAATAATTAAGTAAGTACTTCTAATCTTAATATTTTCTACTAGTAGCCTAGATAGCCTATAATAGCCTATTATAGGCTATTATAAAGTATTATAAGTTACTAAGATATAACTAAGCTAATATAATACTAGTAGATAACTATCTATATTATACTATTTATTCTACTTACGTTTACGCTTACTCTTAATAACTTTACTTTATCTAGCCTCTAGAAGATCTATCTAAGACTATTATAGCTTAGAATAGCCTACTATAGACTCTACTAATATTTTAAATACTTTTATAGAATATAGTAAGTAGACTATAAACTCTTATTATTACTATATTATATTCTTTTCTACTAGTAGTGTTAAGTACTTTAGAAAAGTTAGCTATTTCTTTATCTATCTACCTAATAAAAAGAAAACTTTAGAATACGCTAAGTATATTAGTCTTCTAAGTAGTTAGTTCTATATTATAAATAGTAAAATCTACTATTAGTCTAAGTGCCTTAAGTGCTAGATTCTTAACTAGAATTACTATATAGTAAGTTATAATACTCTATAATAGGCTATTATAACTTATACTAACTTATTATATAGTTCTCTTAAGTTAAATTAAGTAATAGTTACTTTAATTACACTATTAGTAATCTTCTATAGAAGATTAATTAAAGTACTATTACTATCTATAACTATAATCTACTCTATTAAGTTAATAATTAAAGCGCCTAGATTATACCTTCTACTAATACTAATAGCACTAAGGTTTTAGCTCTAGCTTAGTAGATTAAATCTATTTATAATTATACTACTTAAGAGATTTAGAGCTTTACTAATAAACTTCTAAAAATAGC